AGAGAAGAGGAAAATAAGGTTTTCTGCTTACCAGTTAACTAGTGAAGCAACTCAGATAAGGCAACTGATTTCCTAATTGATAGAGAAATTGTAGTTGCAGGTATAATTTTCTACATTAATAAACTAGGAGTTTAGTCTTATTAGTATGCAAGGGCAGATCTGCAAATCAACACAGTGGTTCATATATCGTGTTATGTCATACAGTATTTTGTTTGGCTTCCATGACGCCAACCAATAGTGGCATCTTCAACAAAGGGTAGAGTAAAAATAATTCAGTAATTTATTTACTCTCTGTTCTTAGCCAGATTTTAGTTGCTTCCTTTTCCTGATTGATTACAGCTGTAATAATCATTAAAGATAGTCCGATGGCCTTGTTTAAAGACTATTTATAGTTGCAATGGTGATGAAAAAGTAACTTTGTAAATCCTTACATTTATGATCTTCTGAGCTGAAGTAAAATTAATTTCACTCAGCAATTGCTTCATTTAACAACCAAGCTGTCAGTCCCAAGTGCTTGCTAAACAAGGACTACCTGTAACCAATTGGAAATAAATGGTCTGTTGCTGTCTGAATGAGCTCATATGAATTCGTAAGCCTCCCTACTCTTAGAGCTAGAAAGGAAATTTAAGCTTATGTTCTAAGACATGGTGGGCCATTGAAATTTAATTCATTAGTAGGCCAGAATAATATATTGTAATTTATTGTCCTTCCTTACCAATTGAGAAAGGAAAATTACAAGGAAGCCTTTAATTTCCTTTCATGTGTAAATGGGAAATGGACATACATAAAACTGAGATTTCTGTTGATTCATTCATGTAACAATCCATACTTCTTCTTGTACTCCATATTATATTTTTCTTTTTTCTGGGCAGCTGAACACATTTCTACCACAAAGCACTGTAAGACACTTTTTTAAAGAAAAATAATGGGGCTAGAAGTTCTACTTGGGTGGGGATTAGTCATATTCACCCAGTATTTCCTAGAGCAACATTCCCCTCCTTTTTTCCTTAAACTTGTAGCACTCAGTGTTAATCACTTATGACCACGATTTAAAATTCTCATTGGCAAATTGATACCTGATCAGTTTAGTTTTGAACCTAACAAAATGCAAGGGGTTTTTTTTGTATTGAAACTTTTCTAGCTGATGGTATAAATTCGCTCTCTGAATCATTTTGACCTATAAGGCGAATTGACTTCATGGCTTTTCTTCCAAAAGGGTGCCTCAGCCAACTGACAGAATCTTTGGCATTTTTAACATCAGACTAAGCCTAACTGCTTCACCAAAGACCCAGATATTAATATCCATGCTTTCCTGTTAAGTTTGTAGAAATATCTTGACCTCAGTATGAGAACTGATGCCTCATTGTACCATGTTCATCTTAAATGCAGAATTAAATTGGATGTGCACTGATCGAGATTTGAGGCCTGCCTGGAAAAAAAGGAAGCACTGGACAGTCCTGAATTGGCTGTTAGTCCCCCACTTAGAACAATGGTGACAGTCTTATAGCTGCTCTATTTTTTTCACATCACCATGTATAACCTGTATCCTGCATGAGTCAGAGGGCTGTGAAAATATTTAGATTCCTCACATCCCGGACATAAACTGTTTCAATTCCTTCCCTCAAAACAATGCTATAGAGCATTGCACACCAGAATAAGGAGTTTTCCCCCCCGAAGGCCATCAATCTGCTAAACAAACAATTCCCACAACACTGTCCAACTATTTACGAAGTCTGTACTACTATTACTATTAATCTTCTCATCACTCTTCTAATCTTCTTATCACCCATCCCCTCCCACTTGTGACTGTATGACTGTAACTTTGTCGTTTGTATCTTTACAATCAGGGATGGGATCTGACTGGTATAACTACCAGTTCTGTCGCTCTGCGTTGCGTGCGCATGCACTTTGCGTGCATGCAATTTACAACCTGCTGAGCTGCCCAGACAGCTGAGCAGTGCTGCGTGCAAGTGCACAGCGGTTGGAAAAGCCCTTTTTTCCTGCTTTTTCAACTGCAGCTGTGTCGGACAAAGCAGCTGCGGTTGAAAACGCAGGAAATAAAGGTCAGGTAAGAGCCCAGGCGGGCGGGTCAAAACAGCAGCAAACATAGAACCGGTTCTATGTATGCTCCGTTTGCTGCTCTTCAGAGCAACCAGTTCTACAGAAGTGGACAGAACCGGTAGAATCCCACTCCTGCTTACAATTTATATTGACTGTTTCCTAGTATAATTTGATTGCTTATTGTACCCTATGAATATTATTAAGTGTTGTACCTTATGATTCTTGACTCTTTATGAATGTATCTTTTCTTTTATGTACACTGAGAGCATTTGCACCGACAATTCCTTGTGTGTCCAATCACACTTGGCCAATAAAGAATTCTATTCTATTCTATGACAATGTCCAACCTATGTTCGAAACATATTATCCTGGTTTTATTACACGGGGAAAGGCAGACTTAGTAGAACCACATTTATTTTTATCTAGACACGTTTGTTTTTATGAAATCAAATAACAGATGAAACAAACCTGAACCTCTTTTAATTATCTCCTTCTGATTTAATTCCATTCCCACCCCAAGTCCTTTTGTTTATGTTAAATCTCCATTGCAAAAGAGTTTAGGGGTCACTATGAGATCTGATGATTTCTAACTCCAGTAATTATAATGGCAGAACATTCACTGGGATGTCATGATGGAATTAGTACTTGTTTTGCAAGTGCAATATATAATACACAGTCACATAGGTTTGCTGTTCCACTTTTTTCAGTCCACAATTTCATATATCCTCATTTCCCTAATGCCTTAGAAATGTGTAGTAAAGCTCATTCTCCTGCACTTTTGGTAGGTAACATAGCTTTATTTGTATTTAATTTTCCAGATTTTCATCTGTCTGGCCAGAAATAGATGTGGACATTAGACATTTCTTAATGCCATCCCAACAGAAGTCATAGGCAATGCACTTTATCTGAGAGAAAGCTACAATATTCACCACTGAGAGGTCAGAGAATTGGGAGAATGGAACACCATCTACACAGTTGTCTTCATGCAGAATTAAATGTTCAAAAAACTCATAATTATTCTGTCACTTTGCTAAAGACTGGCATTCAATAATTACATTCTCACCTCATTTGCCTTCTCAAGAGTAATGCTCAGTTCAGGGGGATGAAGCATCCATCTGAAACATAGCTAAGGCTTCTGCTTAGAGAAAATCAAGTTTCCAATAAGGCAAAACAATTTTTATTTCTAAGAAGCTGTTCAACTTTCTGTAAGAAAATTGTTAATGTTCCACGCAAACAAGTATTGTATTTCTCAGCAATTTATATATACTGTAATAGTTGATATTTATACTCAGTAGTTCCTTCTTTATGAAGAAACCAAGCTAAAAACTGGCTTAGTCTTATATTTTTAAACTTTTTTTTGACTGTGATTTATTTTTTAAAGATTTTTTTTGGAGGGGGATTATTATATTGTACAATAAATTTCTCTAGAAAGGAGAACGGCATAGAAATATTAGACTTCTAATGTATTTTAAAGAAATGGCAAGAGGGACAAGCTCACGATTTGCTCCATCAATTGAAGCTGTGTTGAAAGAAACCTATTGTTGTTACAGCTCGAGAACAATGGAGGATTGCAACATGTAAAACACAATGCACTGATAGGCTTCAATTGAGACTGAATGTTTTCTCCAGTTCATCTGCACCTACTAGCTATGAGAAGCAAAGAAAGGTCTATTAAAGGTAGACTGAAATCTCTTCAGAAGTAGTAAACCTATGGTAGAGCTGCCCCACAAATGACAAGACTCCTAAGGCAGATGAGTTGGACAAGATGGCATACTTTGCCCTCTTCACTCCATAAAATGATTCTAGGGCCTCTCCAGATTTTGCTTTTTCCAAATTTTATGCTAAATCATAGGTTACCCAAAATGGTTTGGCAGTACATCTGGAATACGTTATTTTGATTGGATTTCATGTGTTCTCATTAAAATAGGATTTCTTTTGCCTCACTATGCTTTAGCACCTGTATACAACCATGCAAACAATTCTTTTAGATTCAATTTAAAACTATGTCTTGACATTGTACAATAAATCCTAATTTAAGTAATATCTAATCCTGAAATCCTTACTTATAATTTTTATCTGAATTCAACTCAAGCCCTTTTTCCATCAAGAGAAATGTAAATTTACAGTTTTGTTCTTGAATGATAAGGTTATCTCTCATGAATTTTTTAAAAAGTTTGTTAAATAGAACATTTTGTTAAGCATAAAAGTACATTAAAAGTACATTTGTTTAAGCATAATATAAAACAAGAGGTAGTAATGAAAATGGAGATTTATTATATACTTTTAAAAAATTAAAATGGCTTTCTTATTTTTCTAAAACAAAATTTCCCTCCCCCTCCCCCTGGCAGGGTTAAACGTTATAAATCAAATGCTAAAACCAGTTACGAAAATTTCAATTGTACTGTAAAAGTATACATAAAACTTTCGTAAGGTTCTGACTTCATTTCACTTTTTTACCCACTGCCATGTTATCGTTACTGCAATTTTTCAACTAGTATTACTTTTTAATCCTCGGATAGTCAACTTTTAAAACAATTGTCATTGAAGTTTATTGTCTTCGGCTTTTTTGGCCGAAGACAATAAACAAGGCTGAATGAGAAGCTAATGCGTCACCTCTACAGCTATCCCATCTGACAAGTATTTAAGTGAATAGATTATTGAATAGCAACTGTAAAATGTAAAGGATATTTCTATTAACACTATTGCAATCTTATAAAATTTTATTTTTATTTTATTTATTTATTTAATGTACATTTAGCAGATTGCCAACATATAATGAAATCTGCAACTCAAAATTAAGCTATTTCATCACACTATTGTTAATAACAGATTAAACACACGGCATGACTAATATTTCACAACACTCAAGATGACAGGAGATATAAGCTATGACTCCCTAAACCGGAATATTTGGATAGCATTGATTAGCAGTTTCCCAATCATCTTTTAAATACAACAGTATTGTTTGTTAATTGGCTGACAACAAATTGTTTCACTTTTTGAGTATCCTAAAACAACTGTATGGTACAGAAAAGACCCTGAATTTACTGCTTAATATATTTTGTCTAAGGAAAGGTGGAGTGCTGAAGAATTGGCATTGTTCTAGAACTTTATTTCCCTTTCTTAAATTTTGATGTTGCTGAACCACTACTCTTGGCCTTCTTTTTGGCTGAACCCTTAGGTTCTGACTCCTTACGCTTAGCTGAGGTAATAGAACCAGTCACTTTGAAAAAATCATCCAGCCGGCCCTGAGTGCTTCCTTGTCGGCTCTTGTTTAATCTCTTGATCCCATTACGAATTCTTTCTTCATTGAATTGCTTCTCTCCACACATGAAGCTAACAAGCCCTTCCTCATCAGGCTCATTCCACTTCAGCTCCACTTCTTCTGGGTTTACAACTTCAGGCTCCAAGAAGAGTTTTTGGGCCTCCTTATGCAGCCAATTCTCAGGCACGGGATACTTCTTAGCATCTAGTTGCTGAATAATCTTCTCTATGTTTTTGTGCTGCCTGATGAGTTCCACTGCACGCTTGGGTCCAATTCCACGGATGCTTTCACAGTAATCACAACCTAGTAATATACACAAGTCCACAAATTCTTTCAGGCTCAAGCTCATATCCTGGAGGATACGGTTTAGATGAAATTCCTGAATGGGCAGTTTCTTTGCCTCACTCGCAGTAAGATGTCGCATTAGCACAGGGCTGCCAAAGGTCAAGCAATCCATATCCTCAGTAGCAGCTGCGTAGACCTTGTTTCCTTTCACCAGCGCAGCACAGCTAGCTTCAGCTTCACCAGGGGCATCTACATATGGGATACCCATCAAGGTCAGAAGTTTTTTACACTCATCATTATGCTGTTTAGTCACTTTAACTAACCTTTTGCTGAACTTCTCTATGTTTTCTTCCTCACCCATTTCTTTGGCCTCTTGAAGCTGCTTTTCTGCTTCAGTCCGCCGCTCAGTACGCTTAGCCAATTCACCTGATTTCAACTGGGGAGGTTTGCCATCAAAGACATAGACAGGCTTGATGCCATTTTCCACCATGCGGATAGTGCGGTAGAACATACCCATCAGGTGGCTTGTAGTCTCACCTTCTTCATTCTGCAGCATGTCAGCTCCCTGCCGTACAGCAATTAGGAATTGGTAAATACTCATAGAGGCATCAATGGCCACTCTCCGCCCAAAGTAACTCTTGATGTCATTTTCTCGAATGGCAGCAGGAGCCATATCTGCAATCAGCTTGGCCAAACCATGGATTCCCATCTCGACTGGTCAATTGATAAATCTAAGGCAATATAATACAGGAGAAAACCTAGGAAGTAAAGTAACAGATAAAAATTTAAATGACAACAAGCAAGTCAGTAGTGGAATAAGAACATTCTTTTCTCAGTGTACTGATAATAAATCTTTTATCAATATCACATAGATCATTGGTTCCCAAAGTGGGTGGTACCGACCCCTGGGGGTGGGTGGGATGCCTTAGGGGGGCACTAAGAAGCAAGGGGGCTGGCAGGGGGGGGCTAAGAGGCAGCAGGGGGGCGTTCGAGGAGCCGGCCCTGCAGGTTCACTCATTGACTGTAGCACCGCTCCAGAGCTGGCGCCTCCAATGCGGAAGCGGTGGCACATTACGTACCGCCACGGTCGCGTTCGATGCGCTGCCCCTCTGCCTGCCCCCTTGGGGACGCTAAGAAGCGGCAGGGAGGCATTCGAGGTGCCGGTCCTGCAGGTTCACCCATTGACTGTAGCACCGCTCCGGAGCCAGCGCCTCCAATGTGGAAGCGGTGGCACATTATGTGCCGCTGCGGCAGCGTTCAATGCACCATCCCCCTGCCACCTCTTAGTGTCCCCAAGGGGGCCGGCAGAGGGGCGCTAAGAGGCGGCAGGGGGGCGTTCGAGGAGCCAGCCGGCCCTGCAGGTTCGCCCATTGAGGCGCCGGCTCCGGAGCAGTGCTACAGTCAATGGGTGAACCTGCAGGGCCGGCGCCTCAAACGCCCCCCTGCCACCTCTTAGCGTCCCCAAGGGGGCCAGCAGAAGGGCGCTAAGAGGCGGCGCGTTGAATGCAGCCATGGCGGCATGTAACATGCCACCGCTTCAGCATTGGAGGCGCCGGCTCCAGAGCAGTGCTAGTCAATGGGTGAAACTGCAGAGCCGGCGCCTCGAACGCCCCCCTCCCACCTCTTAGCATCCCCAAGGGGGCCAGCAGAAGGGCGCTAAGAGGCAGAAGGGGGGTGGCGCGTCAAACTCTGCCGTGGCGGCATGTAATGTGCCACCGCTTCCACATTGAAGGCGCCGGCTCTGGAGCAGTGCTAGTCAATGGGTGAAACTGCAGGGCCGGCGCCTCGAACGGCCCCCCTGCCACCTCTTAGCATCCCCAAGGGGGCCAGCAGAAAGACGCTAAGAGGCGGCAGGGGGGCGGCATATCGAACGCGGCCGTGGCGGCATGTAACGTGCCACCGCTTCCGCATTGGAGGCACCGGCTCCGGAGCAGTACTAGTCAATGGGTGAAACTGCAGGGCCAGCCGGCACCTCGAACGCTCCCCTGCTGCCTCTTAGCCCCCCTCTGCTGGTCCCCTTGGGGATGCTAAGAGGTGGCAGGGGGGCGTTCAAGGCGCCGGCCCTGCAGGTTCACCCATTGACTGTAGTAATGCTCCAGAACCGGTGCCTTGAATGCGGCAGCATGTTGGGAAAAGCTGCTGGCACCACTTTCCCAAAGTGCCACCACTGTCACATTGTCTGTCTGTCCGTCCGTCCGTCCATCCATCCAAAAGGTTTGTCTGTTTGCCTGCTTCCTTCCTGCCTACCTACCTGCCCCCCCGCCTCTCTCTCCATCCATCCATCCATCCATGTTTGAAGCGCCGGACCTGCAGGCACATCGGGAAAGTAGAGCAAAGCCAGTCTGAGAGGGAGGGAGGGAAGGAAGGAGGGAGGGAGGGAGGGAGAGAGAGAGAGGGAAAGAAAGAGACCTGATGCATCAGATTGAATGAGGCCTAGTTTAGACTGAGGCCCTTTTCCATATTGAAACATCTTTGGCTTCTATTAAAGGTTTTGTGGACGAAACATGGTCAAGACTATCAGGAAGCTCTCACATTTTGTTGAGGCTTTAAACAGGATCCATTGGACCAGATCTCCACCCTAAAAATTACTTTTCCCCAATGTATTACAGTGCCAATTCTGAAGAAGGCAAAACCAAAATGTACTGGTAAATTACAAGAAAACACACACACACACACTCCCTTCTAACCCTGCTGAAGCAGGTGATTGGACTAGAATAGATACTCATTATCTTTCTCCTCCCTGTCTCCTTCCTTATTTCTTTTTCTTTCTGTCCCTTCCTTCCATCCCCCCCTTTTTCTTTGTCCCTTTTTCTTTCTTTCCCTTTTCTCTTTATTTTCTTCCTCTCTTTCTTTTCTCTCTCTCTTTCCCTCTCTCAGGCTCATCCCTTTGGATCGGGGGTCGCCAAACTTTTGGACCTCAGAGACCACCAAACTCATAATTTTAAATCCTGGAGACCACTAATATGAATTTTGACTGACGGTGGCTTTCTGGGAGGGAGGGAGGGAGGGAGAGAGATCTGATCCAACCTCTCTCTCTCCCTCTCTCTCACACACACAGGCAGGGGTGGGATTTAGACCCCTGATCTAAAGCTGTCAAAATTCCAAAAACTGGTCAAGTAGCTCTGGGGAGGCCAGTCATAAATGAGAACACTTGCTAAACAACCGGTCATTAAGTGAGGACCACTTGTGTTTGGTCACACCCACCGTCACGTGACCAGCAAGCCACGCCCACCCAGTCACGTGACCAGCAAACCACACCCTCAAATTAGGCCACACCCACAGAAATTTGAATCCCGCCCCTGGGTGGAGGGCATTGAGGATGAGTTTGTAGCACCAAGGGGGCAGTGGACCGAAAAAGTTTGGGAACCACTGACATAGATTAATAATCTTAAGTGATATTTCAAAGAACTAAATCACGTACTGATGCCAAGCTGCTCATCCAATGGTAAGCCTTTGGCCTCCTGCTAATTAATGAATGGCTGTTCAAACATTTGCAATTCCACCATCCCACGCCGCTATTAGAACACCCAACTGGAGTGACAGCAATAATTAAGTGTTAACACCTACCACGCTACCTGGCCGAGAGCACAAGCAGTCCCGCGCTTTTCCTCTACCCACGAGCGCACCAGCAGGTTCCACCGCCTTTGTCTGGCACACCTCCTCCGTCCGCCGCGCGGGAACTAAGCCGCGTCTCTCTCGCCAAGCCGGCCTTCCGACACTCCTCTCTCTTCGCGCCTTCTAAATCCCGCGCTGAGGGCCGCAAGAGATGCGACCGCGCAGTGATCTCTGGGAGGTGTGGTTCTGACGACAGCTTTGTGCGCTCCCCTACAATTAGAGGGCCAAGCGGACTTCAACTCCCAGCAAGCTTTGGGCCGGAGAGACAGAGACAGAGCTCCGGAGACGGAAGGGCGGAGCGAGGATGGCAGGAAAGGACGGACGTGTCCTTCTGTGACGGGAGCCGCCGCCAACGCAGCCATGGTAAGTGGCGGGGAAAGGGACCGTCGGCGGCTGCTTTTTGCAGGGCGGCTTTTTTCCGGCTGCGGCCGTTGGTGATTGGCGGACCCAGCTCCGGGGCGCCTGTAACCACGAGAAAGCTTTTCGAGGGGTCCTTTAGAGGAATGTTAATGGTGTTGGCTCTTTTTGCAAAAGGCAGAAAGAGGCTCTCACGCAGAAGCTGGACCTCCCATGGACCTTCCTTTACATTCCCGTGGAGAGAGGGATGGGGGTGTATGAAGGCCCAGGGGCTCAAGCTGAGCGCTGGCAGGCTTCAAGATAAGGAAAAGGCGGGGAGAAGTTGTGGTAGGGGCATCAACAGATAATGGATTGTTGTGGTTATCTCTCTCCCCCTTCTTCCTCTGTTTGTCTGTCCATCCATCCATCCTTCCATCATCTATCCTTCCTCCCTCCCTCCCCCCTCTCATCTACCTCCCTCCCTACCATCTATCTATCCTCATTTTTTAATATATAATTCAAGGTGTTACAAACGTACCTAATGCTCCCACCTCCTATTTTCCCCAAAACAGAAACCCTATGAAACCCTATCTTGGGCTGAGAATGACTGGCCCAAAGCCACCTAGCTGGCTTTCATGTCGAGGAGAGGGAATCCCAACTCTCACAGTCTCCTGTTTTCTAGACCAGCTTCACTGGCTATTGTGTCCATTCTTCTCAACATCCATGAGGGGCAGGGGAGGAAATACTTCCTTTGCCTCATGCTGCAGTTCTCTCAATAAGATATATATTTTTAAAAAATAGTTAAATATTCATAATCTTATATTATTTTTCTTGTCTCACTTCCCACCCCCTATTTTTCTTTATTTCAGGAACTTGAAACAATGAGCAGATACACCAGTCCGGTGAATCCGGCTGTGTTTCCACATCTCACTGTGGTGCTCCTGGCCATTGGCATGTTCTTCACAGCTTGGTTCTTTGTGTATCCTTATAATTGCAGAGATATATTTTGGTTATATATGAAAATATATAAGGTGGTCAGCAGTCCTGTGGAAAGCACCATATCTTTATTTAGTCTGTAAATAAAATCAATACCATAGATTTTTGCTGTTGACCAGGGGTCTCTAACTTGGCAACTTTAAGATTTGTGGACTTCAATTCCCAAAATTCCCCAGCCAGCATAGCTAGCTGAGGAATTCTGGGAGTTGAAGTCCACAAGTCTTAAAGTTGCCAAGTTTGAAGACTCCTGTTCTTGTCAAATGCAGTTAAAAAAAAGTCTTAAGGTCATCAGGATTTTACTCTTCCTATTGTATATTTTGCTACTGAGTATTAAGATGTAGTGATTTATAGAGAGTCTGAAGAAACAAAAGAAATCTATATTTCATCAACAGAGTAATCAAACAAGCAATATATCAATTGAAAAAGTATCACCTCCCTAGTTCAGTCAATTCAGTTAAAAGGATAATTAAAGTCGGTTCCTTAAATATTTTATTAAATAGTAAGGGCTGATTCAGACATCTGTGCTTTATTATTCTTACATTCTTTAGCTTCCATCATTGTAAGGAGCTTCCATTGTAGAGTCTAGAGCAGAGTTCCCCAACCTTTCTGGGTTGCTGGTCTGGAGCAGGGGGAGGGGAGGAGGAGGGGATGATTTTGTTGGAGGGGCAAGTGCATGTGCAGCACCCGCGAGGTTCGTTGCAAAGCTTGCACAAGTCGGGCCAACAAGCATCCGTGATGAAACTTGTGTGAGTGGGGCCGCAAGCACCCATGATGAGGTGCATGTGACTGGGGCTGTGCATGCACCCAGAGGTGCATGCACCAGGTAGCCACTCATGTGGCCCAATGGCGATTATCCACAGCTCACAGGTTGGTGACCCCTGTTTTAGAGGTATATCATGTTCTACTAGAAGTAAGTTCTTAATACTAGATTTCCATCAACTGATGGTGATATAATCCTGAAATGAAGATTTGAAATAATTTTCAGAAGGCAGAGTATCATGCAGAATAATTTCAAGGTACAGCATAATATAACTCGGGAACTCTTAAGTACAATATATACCAGGATTCAAGGAATCTCCTCTTGGCTAAAGTTGGTGATCATGATTCCATAATTAGAAAAGCACTTAGATAAAAATGAAATTCATGGAAATTTCTGGTTTGCCAGAAAGCACCTGGATGACTCAATATTAGGATCTCATAAATATAGGTCACATGTTTTCATGTTCTTTTAAGCACAGAAATATGATTATTACTACTTTTGCAGAATATAAATACTTTATAGCATCATAACATGCTTTTATGCCAGGAGTAGAGATACTCAATTGCCAATAGACAAAAAATTAGTTCATACAGTTTGAAACAACAAACATTACATTCAGGATTTGTGCCACATGCTCAGTTTAAAATTGTATTACAAGTATTATTATGAAACATTAGAAATGTGATTGTTTCTCAAGAGTTGGAAAGTAGTTCTAAGTAGTAAAAAAACATCTTAATGAAAAAAATGAACATTTAAACTTGGATAATGAGAATTGTGAAATTTTGATAAAGAAAACTTGACTTCATCAAATGCTTGCAAGATAGCATGGGTGTGATAAATATTTCTAACAGTTTTGTTACTTAATGGCTACCATAATAACAAGCTGAGAATAGTTCCTAAACTGCTTCTGTTCCTTCAATTCATTCCATTCTGTTTAACCTAACTGAAGAAAGTGATGTATTAGTTTCTTCTCTATTTTTGGCAAGGAAAGGATTGTCTGCTTAATTTCTGTATTATGAGCTATGTTAAAGATAGGTGATCTGTACAATTGTCATTCCATTATTTATGGGATACGTGGTTGTTTTTTTCCAATTTGGATTGATATGTTTTCTGTAAACCTGTCTGGTTATATCTTTAATAATTATCTCAGTTATGAAGTGACATCCACCAAGTATACCCGGGACATTTACAAAGAACTACTCATCTCTCTAGTAGCATCACTCTTCATGGGCTTTGGAGTTCTCTTCTTATTGCTGTGGGTTGGGATCTATGTGTGACAGTAATTTGGAGCTATTTCAGGTGAGACATGTTAAATGCTATGCTGGGGCCTTCTGACAATAAGGATCTGGTTAATAAGTGTATAGAACAAATTCAGATGAAACTTTTAAAAAGTATATTTAAAGATGCAGTGTAAATACAAATAGTCCTCGACTTACACCCATTCATTTAGCGGCCATGTGAAATTACAGCAACACCGATAAAATGATTTACAACTGGTCTTCATATTTACAGCTATCACATGGTCATATCAAAATTGGCAGGCAGCATATATTTATGATAATTGCAGCATCTAGAGCAGTGGTTCCCAAATTTTTTCAGCCCACCGCCCCCTTGGTGCTACAAACTCATCCTCAGTGCCCCCCACCCAGGGGTGGGATTCAAATTTCTTAAAAACTGGCCTAATTTGTGGGTGTGCCTTGGTGGTCACGTGACTGGGTGGGCGTGACCCGGTGGCCATGTGACTTGGTGGGCATGGCCAGGTGACCATGTGACTGGCAAACCAAATACAAGTGGTCCTCGCTTAATGGCCAGTTGCTTAGAAAGTGTTCTAATTTATGACTGACCTCCCCAGCACTACTTGACCTGTTTTTGGAGTTGTTGTTTTTTTAACAAATTTTATTAATTTTTAAAAGCATACAAAACATACAAGATAAACAAAACCTTTTTTCTAAAAATTTCTAAAAATTATTTGAAAGTTTTACAACATTAACACATTTCCTTACAATCACATATTTTCCCTTTCTAACTTGCTTTATTTTCTTCTATCTTTCTCTCCATTGTCCTTTTCTAACCTTTCTCCAAGGTTTTATTAGCTCATTCAAACATAAACACATAAGAACACAAAACATATAAACATTAAAAAAAACATCTTTTCTGAAAGTTGCTTAATCCCGGGTCAAAACTCTTTGTACAGACACCAACTCAAATTCATATTCATTTTATATGCCATTCCATATCTTATTACCATTTTCAATTTTTTATATAGCTGCTTCTCTCTCTTAGATTCTCTTAATTTTATTTTATTTATCTCATCTCAATTCAAATCATAATATTTATTATTCTTTGTCTGTTTATTTCCAGCTATCGATTTATCTTTCTTCTTTAAAAAAAAGCTTCTCCTGTACACTAATTGGAGTATGACGCCTTTACCTCTTTCCCCTACATTTATAATACTTAATATAAAATACCTAACTTACATTGGGATTCTATTTGGTACATTCTAAAATTATACAATATTATCAATACCAATACTAATCTATTCATTAATATTCATATTCTTTTATATCATAAACACTTAGCACATTACTTTTCAATTAATTAACATACTTTTGTGGGAGCACCTACTTTCCATAATTATTCCCCCCCACATCACATATTTTAAATCATTATTTCATTAAGGTATTCCTGCTTCTCCTACTTCAAATCTCTCCTTTCAAAAAAAAAAAAAAATTCCACTGAAATAACACAATCTAATTAATATTGACATTCATTTGTATCTTTCTCTCCAACTCCTTTATATCTTAACCATTTTATCCATTTCAATTAAATAACATGCCTTTTGGGAATACTTATATTTTTCACAATTATTCCCCCCCCCCACATCATATCTCAAATCCTTATTTCATAAAATGTTCCCCTTTTCTTAAGACAAGTTTCACTAAGTTATATTAAACATTTTATCACACTTTAAATTACACATTATTTCCAACTTTCTAAAATTATTTCTAAATACAAATATAAAAAACAATCTTATGTACCTTTAGAATCCCTTTATCAATAAAGTTTACCCATTATCTCTAAAAAAACTTTTGTTTCTTTACATCTTGCTCACTACTATTGAGGCTTCTCGTCCCCTTTCTCCCTTGCTTATTCTTCTCTCTGTCCTCTTTACCCCTTTGCCTCTCCACCTCCCTTTTTCTCTGCTTTCCTCCTTTCTGTTGTCTTCTAACATAATATCTCTTTTTCATCTTATTTTTCTCTTTTTTGATTGCTTTTATAGGTCTTAAAGTCTCTTTTTCCTTTTTCTCTTTCTCCTTTCCTTCCCCAGCCAAAGTCACTTGTTCATCAAAAATGGCTTCTTCTTTGTCCCAGTCGTCCTGTTGTCCATTCAATTTTACATAAGTGTAGACCGCCATTTCTAAATACTGAAAAAGAGTATCAAAAACGTCCTTCCCTTCTTGCTTTTCTTTTTCATATTTTTGATATAAAAGTTTCAATCTGTCCACAAGTAATGCCATTATAAAGAGAAAAAGTTTTCCCAAGCAACCACCCAAGTGCTTTTAATCAGAGATAATTCTCAAAAGTGGTAAAATCACCAAGCAATCCAAGTAGGTTAATTCTTTTAAGCACTTTCTCCTTCACTTTCTCTTTCTGGGATTGGAGTTTGATCACAAAGTTCCATTTAATATATATCTTTCAGAAGCCTTGTTAGTATTTATAGCTCTTTAAAAATCCAGGCAGTCTTCTCCTTATTTTCAAATTCTAATCCAATTTTTCCCTCTCCCTTCCCACTCACAGCAAAAAAAAAAAAAATTTAAGTCTTTTTTTTAAAAAAATCATTCAGAAATCCTTATCTCTTCAGTATTTAATTACCTAGATTTTCAGATTTCTCTTGTTGTTCCATCTGCCCGTCACGTTAGGAAGGAGAGTGAAGGAAAAAAAAAACAAACTTTCCCTTTTAGAATTCTGTGCGCCGCTTGTAACTCTCTCTGGAAACAATGTAGCAACTTCTCCGTAGCAATTTTCAAGCCCCAGGAAACTTTCTTATCCCTTGGCAACTTTATCCCGGTCCAGAAACAACTCTCACGATTTCCCTGATTTTCTTCCTCCTGCACAATCTTATCCGTTTGCAGGTTTCTTCATGGCGGCCATTGCTGACCGCCGCTCCTCCGCCTCGGGAAAAGGGGATTTTGCTGGCTGGGGAGGGGGTCTGCGACACCCCTTACCCCCTTTCCAGATCCCCCCTGTCTTCAGCTGCCCCTGCAGGGCAGCTATATCCCCCAGATCCAAACGGATCGGGGGAACCTTGGCAGTGAGCTCGGCAGGGATCGCGCTGGATCGCAAATCCCTGCCGCTGCCGAAGCCTAGCTTTTCTATGGAGATCGTTCCAGATTATCCACCTGTTTTTGGAGTTTTGACAGCCATGTGCACACACACAGACACAAACTCCCCCTTCTAACCCTGCTGGAGCAGGTGGTTGGACTAGATATCTAATTCACTTTCTCCTCCCTCCCTTTCTTTTTCTTCTTTCTTTCTTTCTCTTTCTGTCCCTTCCTTCCATCCTCCCGTTTCTTTGTCTATCCCTTTTCTTTCTCTTCCTTTCTTTCTCCCTTTTTCTTTCTTTCCCTTTTCTTTTCTTTCCTTTCTTGTTTCTTCCTTCTCTCTCTCCCTCCCTCCATATATCCCATTCACTTTCTCCTCCCTCCCTCTTTCTCTGTCCCTTCCATCCTCCCATTTCTTTGTCTATCCCTTTTCTTCCTTTCTCTTCCCCCTTTCTTTCTTTCTCTCTCCCTCTCTTTCTCTCTCTCTATCCCTTCCCTTCCTCCTTCGCTCTCCCCTCCTAAGCTAGGAGACCCACCTGAAACACACACACACACACTCTTCCAACAAGGTCACCCGGCAGCGTCGCTCATGACAAGACAACCAGAGTCACAGGGACCGGGCGCGATTGTCTGTTCACGCCCGGTCCCACGTTGCCCAGAAAAGCCGGCAGGCAAGCCTTCCTGGTCCAACAAAGGGGCCGCGGGTGGGACTTCCACTCCCTCTTTTGGGGAAAGGGCTGGGAACTTCAAGCGAGGCTACAGCCTCGCCCACTGCAGGAGCTGCGGGAGAAGTGAACTGCAGGAAAGGTGAACCCACCGTAACTGTCAGGGCAGACCTCTCATTACTCGTCTCCCTGCCAGCCCGCATCTCGTCAGCTGCTGGGGCTCATGGGTCGTGGCTGATGGGGGGGATTGCGGGAGGCAACCAGAAAGCACAAGGCTTATGCTGCCTGCATGGGCCTCTGCCAGCCACCCCTCTGAGCATTTTAGCCGAGTGCGAGCCACCGCTATGCAAGCTCCATGGGTGGAAGATTCGCTCTCACGAGGCTTGACTTGCATCATTCTCACAGCGATGGCCTGCATTCAGCCAAAGCACACAGGCTGGCAGGGGGCAGAGGGAAGGGGTGGAAGGCATAGCATCGTGTTCCCTGGTCACCCCCCCGTGCCCCGAGCAGGCAAGGCCCAGCAGCTGTGGAGAATCCAGGCGGGACCCAAGCGGCAACAGGTCAGCCCTTGCTTGCCTTCCTCGGCCACCAGCAAGCCATGAAAGTGGGAAGCTGAATTGCACCCTGCGAGTGGCCCAACTCCAGCACTCCTCTGCCATCCCACTTGCCTTTTAGTGCCCCCCTGCCGCCCCTCTTGCCTCTTAGCGCTCCCTTAAGTCATCCCACCCACCCCCAGGGGTGGTACCGCCCACTTTGGGAACCACTGATCTAGAGGTTATATGATCTTAATTTGTGATCTTCCCAGCCAGCTTTCAAGAAGCAAAGTCAATGGGAAAAGTCAATGATTCACTTAACAACCCAAGTGATTCGCTTAACAACTCTGATGTAAAACTATGCACGACACATTTAACCACTTTGCTTAGCAATAGAAATTATAGTCCCAGTTAGGGTTGAAAAGTAATAAGAACTACCTGTAATGCTAAACATATTCCAGCAGACAAAAATGAACTAAAATACAGGGATAAAACTAGAAAACTTCCAGCATCCAAAAATAAGTATCAAGAACAGTCCTGTACTTTTTATCTAGCCATGGTCTCCTGAGTTTTCAAAAAGACTTAATTTTGAATAGATGTTTGTAGGCTTACACAAGGGGTGTCAAACTTGCAGCCTGAGGGTTGGATGCATCATGCACAGGTCACACCCACCCCAGCTTCGTAAAGGGGGGAAAAAGTCGTGATACATCACATGACAAACGTGACACCGCAAATTTGACATCCATGGCTTACACTGTTAGTATGAGAATATTAAATTTCAAATTAACAATAAGAAAGCTCGAAATTTTTAAAAACAACCCAACAATACATTATTTTTAACTGGGTAACATTTAAAAATAAAAGCAAAATGAATAATGTTAATAAAGTTTTAACATAAATGCTGGTATGTATACATTTTAGAGGCAACATAATATAGCTTTTAGAAATATCACTTATTCCACATATACTTTAATTATACAAAAACAAGTTTTAAAATGCTTTTGCAGAAGATATCAGTATATTACCAAAGAATTTGCTTCACTGAAAAGTATGTACAGTCAATATTTCATAGAATTGGAGTTAGAAGGCAGCTCAGTACAAAATTTGCTAAATCATTTGGAAGATTGCTACTGGGGCTCTTAGTGAAGAGGAATATACAGTATACCTCTTCCAGAGATAGCTTATTTCACTGACAGCCGTTAGCATCAGGAACTTCCTCCAAATATCTAACCTAAATTTACTTCCTTATAGTATCAAACAATTGGAAATGTTTCGGTGGTAACTGCTATTCTCAAATCTTTGGCAGTTAATGTGCATCTTTTTTTTCTCAACATGTTTCTTGCAAACCATTTGCAGCAAAATGTTTGATGGTTCTGTGGTCGCACCCCAATTTCAAGAGTGCTGCATCCCTCTGAAAGACTCTTTACAATTTTTGATTTTTCAGAGCCAGTTAAATCTCTTCTTTGCTTGAGGAAAAGCAACTGTCTAATAATTATGCACACCTTGATATAGGGTGTTGATCTCCTTAGGCCATACCCTCCCTCAATACACAAATACACATCACCTGATCTGCTTATATCCCATAAGCATTCAGGTTTATACAGCTTGGAGGTGGAAAATATGCATTAAAATGATACGGTCAAAATACTTACTTGCCTAATAATTGTGCGTGCAGTGTAGTGACATGGAAAGCAGTAAGAAATAGTATGATTCAATTTTGTTTTTTCTTTTCTTCCTTTCAGATTCCAGAAACCTTTCTGCACCTCCTTTTTACTTTTTTATTGAACAATGTGGCTTATCACAGTTCTGGACTATAATTCTAACATGAGAGAATTCTAACGTCAGATCAATAAAGCTGAATCTGTGATAAGCTAAATGTTGTGCTATACTCTGAGGCATTGGAGTTTTTGTTTTTGATATCAGTGTAGATCCATTTATTTGTCACTGGCTGGTCAACCATATTTAGCCTTGGGTTTGTATATATTCTCAGTAGGAGAAATAGATATCGCTCTCTAGGAGCGGATGGTCGTCAAGTGGCATGCTGTTGAAACCTGACCTCAAGGCAAGGTGCCAAGAATGAGAAACTGAGGTGACCATTTTATGGTTTATTGATGCATCCTATTCACTGTACCATTTTTTTGGATATATGGAATAAATGTGTGATGACCCGGGGATGGCACAGAGTCAACACAGTCAGCTGACAGTTCAAACTGCCCCTTTATTGCTCCAAATGTTCCCCCCAAAGCTCCCATGTTTCTGGCAAGTCCCAGAGCAAAGTGATAACACGCACGCACACCTCCAGCAGCCTCTGGCTGCAAGTAGTCCAGCACAACGCTGCAAGCACAACAGCTGCAAAACAAGAAATCCAGCAGAACAAGAGAATAAGTCAATTAATCCAGGAAGCAAGAAATAAAACAAGCCCAGGAAACTGCCAACGTCTGCAATGGCACACAACACTCCATGAACTCAGCGTTTGTTCCCGACAAATGCCTCTCCCCACAGCATCTCCTTCAGTCTCAGTCCCCAGGTGTGCCTTGTGGAGAGGGGCAGGGCACGCCCAAGTAGTTGGATCAGCCTGCGCTGTTCCCTTCTCTCCACTCTCTCTGCTCGAGGATCAGGAGTGGGTAGTCCTTGTTCATTGCCTGAGCTCTGTCTCTCATGTTCACTGCTTAGCCTCTCTTGGTCATCCTGCCCACATTCCTCCCTGCCTACAAACCCTACTGTTGCTTTAACCAGTTGCATATGTAGTTACATGAACCTACATATTCCAGAGTGCCCCACTGCTCTGATGGTGGTCCTGTACCTGATTAAGTGAACTATTTTGACAAAGGTATTGGTTCTTAAGGTGCTGCCAAATTTATTTTTGCTGCAATGAACAATAGCACTAGCACTTAGACATAGTGCTTTGCAGCCCTCTCTAAGTGGTTTACAGAATCGGCATACTGCCCCCAACAATATGAATCCTCGTTTCACTGACCTTGGAAGGATCCTTTTGGGAACAACATGGAGATAGTTCACCTAATGATATTTTTGATAGATGCATTACTTCAGTTGCAAAGTCCACAAATAACATTGATTTTTACCTCTGTTATGGCTATCTTGTTACTGCTAAATAATTTTCTTTCTCCTGCATCTTATTTTGAAAAGGCAGTTAATAAATAGAAAGTTTCACATTTTAGCTCATATAAATGAATCAGTTCATTTGTGCTATGATTAAAAGATTGGCCTAGAAACCAGAATTCTAGGCTTTGCTTCCCTTGGGCATAAAAGCCACCTGGATGGCTTTGGGACAGTCATTCTCTCCAACCCAACCCACTTCGCAGGGTGGTGGTTGTGGAGAAAATAGGAGAGGACATTAGGTACTTTGACCATTTCAATTGAGTGTGTGTATGAGAGAGAAATTACTCCATCATCCAGGCAATGGTTCCAAATGTGCTTTTTCCAAGAGGCAACTGGACTTTCTTGTTTTTCTTTGAAGATGTTTAGCTTCTCATCCAAGAAGCTTTTTCAGCTCTGACCAGATGGTGGGGAATGGAGGAAGGATTTATATTTCTTGCAGACAACTGGTCATTTGCATTCTTTATTTCTTTTATAAAAACTTCAGATAGGAACATTAATCTAAAACATGATTATTTTTGTCATCTCCAAATAGTTCCTGTAGCATATTATGTGCAATACCAAATTCTTTTTTCTTGATCTGCATCCTTAATTAATTGCACTGTGTGTCTACTGAAGATCTACTGAAGTGGAAGAATAAGTGATGAGCCAATCTTGGGTACAAAGTAGTATACTTGGGTATTTATTTATAGAGGTACATTTCTTAAGAATTAGGCTCTAGATAAGCAAACAAATGTAAAGGAATCCTGACCACCAGAACTCCAAAACAAGAACAAAATATAAATACAAATTGGAAAAGCAGGTGGTAGAAGAAAAAGCAACTTCACTTATTCTCCACCAAACTAAAATAATAATAAAACATAAACAGTACTCACTAAGTATATGACTTTGAAATTGTAGACAATATACAATGATTAAAGCTGTGGTAGCAAACAAAACAATTAAACAAAACAATTAGTGCTTTATATTCCTTAAGGCTCACAGTGATGGCATAAAATATTTATATACAGGCTTTAAGCTTTAACAATAATAAAAGTACAAAAAGTGTATGGATTTTCCTTTTCAGAAATCATTGCTAACCTTCAGAGCAGCCAAACTTTAAAAGCTGGCTCCATATCCACCCTAGTTTTTTCTTCCTGTTCCTAAAGCGGCACAGTTAGAATTCCAGCTCTTAGAAAGGTGAGCTACCAACTAAGCAGGAAGCACCATCTCTTAACCTGTCTATCAGACAGGAACAGATACAGTTTTTAATCACTATTTTGCTTTTGAGAAGTCTAAATAACGCAAATGGGAAGGAATGTTCTGAGACAAGATGAGTAAAGATTGTGTGGTCAAAAGGTCCAGTTTATGTGATTATGTTAATAACTGAGGCATTGATGGTTATTAATCTGCTATGATTTTTTGGCTAATTTTTCTCTCTCCCTCACTTGATACTTTGAAGCATTTTGAGACAAAAGAGATATTATAGAAGCAGTGTTACAGCATTTTAAAACAATGAAACCTGTAATATAAAGAGCAATACTTGTTATAAAAGATTATGCATACCAGAAAAAACTTTGATGTGAATTTGCCAATAAAAATATTTGATATATGTATATGTGTGCTTGTGTATATATACACACACACACACACACATATATATACCGTACATGCATACTTATATATAAAAACACTGATACCTTCTCTCCAATTCCATTGGATCGACTGGGAGAAGAAAGTGATTGGTTATTTTATTTCTGATGTCATTTTGTCTTTGCTGCCTCACCCTGATCAGGATAGATAACAAACAGTGGTGGGTTAGCTATTTATATCAGTATGGAGGAGTAGGCAAAGGGATAGTCAGGAAAATGTGAATGTCCTCATCAGATTGTTTTTAAATGAATAGCTCTTAACTAAGGGTTTAAAGATTTCTTACTGCTTGTAATAAGGGAGTATTTTGGCACCTTGCTGCTGAGAAGAGCCATACTAGAGCTAAGATGGAATCAAAAGGAACAACGGATTCTTCCATTTCTATGAGTTACTGCTTGCATTACTTTAACTAAATGGGCGCTATTGCAGGACTTCTTCCCATCTGGCTGGAATAACATTGGAAGATTCCACTATGTGAGAAGCTGATAGAGTTTGGCATGGAAAAAGTGGCAGGATTGATGCAAGCCTCTAGAATGACAGCAGTTCTTTACACCATAAAAGACAGATTTTTATCTGGCCTATGGTTTCATCATTTACTCTTGTTATTCTGAGCACAAGTATGTGTATAGAGGAAAAAGACTCCAACCAAGTCCTGTTAAAATGTACAATACTTTCCTCTATTCTCCTTTACATTGGCTCTGTTACAATTATGTCCAAACTAAGGCACTGAGGAGAAGGAAGAGGAGGAGGAGAAAAAAAATGTAGAGGGAAAGAGGAAAATAGAACAGTGGGTGACAAGAGAAGCTAATGCTATCAAGGATGTCCTGGAGAAGTGCAGGCAACGGCTGTCTTCATAATAACTGAAGCTCAATTCTGCACTGAAACACCAAGCAGTGAAACCCTTCAATAAGCAGTGCTTAGCAGTGCATCCTTGTGGAAGTTTGCTGAACTCAAATTCATTTCTTTCTGTTACTCATCAGTGAACGGTGAGTACAGGACTGCAGTTTAAAATGTTTGGGTTTTTTGGCCAGAGAGCCTTACCTAAAGTATATATTATCTTCAATGTTTAAAACCTATAGTAATGACATCAATAAATTACAATTCCAGTTTGAGTTAATATTAGCTATCTGAAATTAAGTGCCAAATTAAATACTGTATGTATTAGATTTTCTACCTCATGCCTGTTGCCCCTTAGATCTCTGTATACAAAAACTGATCATGTTAATTCTTTCTTGTGCAACATTGCCAACTGGTGGCAAGTACTTGTAATGATAGCCATGCCAGTCTTTGCATGTCTGTTTTCTCCGAGGTGGACCTAACTAAAAATTTTCTGTCTTCTCTTCCCTATATCATCAAGTGTGTCATCACTGCTCCCAATGAATAGGAATACCCAACTGCTGTTTTTCTCGAGGAGCTATTCTTGGGCACACAACATACAGCATCCCAAAGAAAGATATCAATCATTAACAATGAATTAATTTTATATTGCATCCATGAGTACTACTCGCTTTAAAGCATCCTGAAGAACAATTAGACCAGTACATTATTTTGTGAAAACAGGTTAAAGGTAAACATTTCCCCTGTCCAGTTGTGTCCGACTCTAGGGGACAGTGCTCATCTGTGTTTCCTACAGTAGCTGAGGGAGCCAGCATTTCCGTGGTCATGTGGCCAGCATGACTGAGGCGCACGGATTGCTGTTACCTTCCACACCAAAATGGGTACCTATTTATCTATTTGAATTTTCATGTTTTTTAACTGCTAGGTTAGCATACATATTAATACATTTATTAGAAGTGTTCTTATAAAACTATTTTTAGTTATCATTTTTCTCTGGGAAGTGCGATTTTTAGCATAGATATACAATGCAATGTCAAATATGCAACACTGATAATAGCCTAAAAGTATGCCTATCTGGTAATAGATAAATTAATAATGAGGCAGTTCCACCAAGAAATGCAGGCAACACTACTGTAAGTTTTCACAAACATATCAATGCTTAAAAAAATATCAATAGCCAAGGTTTACTTTAGTAATTTTAAACTACAGTAATCCAATTTAAAAGCTTGCAGTGCTGGATGACTGGAATATGCCAAAGGCAGGAATGCTTCTTTTCATATATTCTTTATACAGTAATTTCATTCTGGTTGAGAAAGCTGAACCAGCAGCTTCTTACTTTCCTCATCAGATTACCTCCTTGTTCTCTATGCAACTGTTGTTGCTTCTACATAAATCTTATTTAACCATTTTAGAAAGAAATGGCCAGTGCCTGAACCAACCTAACTCATTTGTCTTCAAATTGAGGGCAAAAGGCTGATACCTGGACATTGTGCTTGCACATCTGACTTATCCCAGCACCTAATTTAAAATCTTGGCTCAGGTTGGCACTCAGAGTGAACTCAACTTTGGTTTCCTATGAGGCACAAGCCAATCAATAATTGACTTGAATGTTGGCAGCTGCTTCTTTTCTCTTTTTGGTGAAAACCCCCCAGAAGTGGTTTAACAAATTAAAATCTTGTAACAGTAAATTACCTGAAATACAAAGGATATTCAAAGCCTAGAATGAAGAAAAGTATTTTGTTTTGTTACCTCAAAGGGACCCCTGTGATCCCTTAGGGATTAAAAAAAAATCAATGTAGATATTTTTTAGCACTGGGTACATTCCTTCTGGTGGCCTTCTTTTCCTGGTTTCTGACACAAGGGTATAGTATAAGTTTTTCCATATTCTCTTTGGGATGAATGTATTTTTGGCAGTGGCAGAAAATGGGATGTAAAAGGTTTCAGTCAATGCTATTATGATACCAGCATTGTGGTCCAGTTGTAGAGCCTATTAGAGGCTATTTTCTCAAGTATATTTGAAGAAAAGAGCTATCTTCTTGAGAAGCATGAAGGATGAAGATCCAGTCCTGAAAAGAAGGCACTTTGGGTGCAAATGTGGCCTGCCTGAGAATGGCTTTTGCAGGGCCCAAGAGGTTTGTTGTCTGCCAAATACAAATTTATAGTAAGACAAATGCAGGAAGAAGAGAGAGGTAAACCCCATAACTTTTCCATTGGTTATTGCTATTGAAAACAACCTATCAGCCCTGAATTCCAGTGTCACCAGGATTTCTGCCAAGCATAGCTTTAAAGAGAAGCATCTGACTACCAGCTAGAAAGTTGAAAATTCCAGTGTACGACTTGCAACACATCTAGATTGAATTCCTTTTCAGACAGATCCAGTGTTTCCATTTTAGAATAGGACTTCTAACATCATTGGTAAGAAAGTTACCTTAGAAAGCTGCTTCATTGACTTTCTGGGCACCAAGATTTGTTTCCAGTCAAGCCATATCTTTCAGTTCTGAGATGCCCAAATAGACTGAACACAAGCATGGTCAAGCCTAAAATTTTAAAATCCAGTGTATTCAAGAGCCAGATAAATTCTAGCATCCTACAGCAAATCAAGAAAACAAAATGCCTCTGTATTTCCTTGTCTTGCTTGTGGCACTATTCCTTCCCAAAGTATGACATTCTAAGATTAACATCCCTCTGGTAGGAAGGAAACCAAAGTAACTCAGACCCAAAGGAAGGGATTATCGATTAGAAGCAACTAGTCAGGGCGTGGTGTTCTTTGAAGAGAGTATTCAGTCAAATGAGTCTTGGAGCCCATCGTTTTTCTGCTTCGGTCAAAAGGGTGCAGGTGTTCCGGAGACTCATTCACAGAGCCAATAAAATTGGAAATAGTAGTCATTAAAGAGAGAGCCCATCTGGTCCACAGGGGTACTGCAATTAGCTTGGCCCTGTAGGGAGGGAATGGGGAAAAAAATAGGTTCAAGGGAAATGAAGGTGGTTTTTTTTTACTGAGAGGAACTCTTAACTTCTTGAGGGAATCATGAATAGCCATCATTAACAGAAACAATTTACATTCTGGGAAGCAAACATGGAAAGTTGATTGGATCATTAGCTCAAAACTATTACTACTTTTGGAAGAAATGTAAATGAGTTCAAATTTAGAGTCAAAGTAAAAAGTAAGCTCATACTCTGAATAGGTCCCCTTGGATCACTAAAACACTTCTCCGGTTTTATGAAGGAAGGCTAATTTTCTGTGTGTTTTCAAGGCATAGAAGCCTTTATACTGATGTATTGTGTCAGTAAATGTAACTTCCCCAACAAGCCCCAGATTTAAATCTGTTCCCTAAAAAGTTCAAGTCTCTCCTGTGCTCTCATACAGGTAGGTGCATTAGAATAGTGTTTCTCAATCTTGGCAACTTTAAAATATGTAGGTTTCAATTCCATGCTGGCTGGAGAATTCTGAGAGTTGTTGTTCACATATCAGGTTGAAAAAGACTGCATTGGTGCAAAAATAGCAATCCCAATACTGTGGTAAGAAATTTCATAGTGTTCTTAAATGGTCTCAAATAACCCTGCACATGAACATATTTTTCTTTACTGAAGATTAATCCTAAAATGAAATAAGCATGCCTATGAAATCTAGACATTCCCATGGATACAGAATCATTACTTATCTATACCGGACTTATCAGGAGGTAATTTAAATATGGGATATTCACACCATCCTTGTAAACATTGCTACGTGTGGATATAATTCATACATTTATTTGTCTCATTTAACAGGAGTTTGCAACTCAGTGCTCGGTTTAATGAGAAGTTTTGTTACCAAAGGGCAAATTCATTGCCTTAGCTGTAAGTATTTTTTTTTTCATTCTAAGAATTAATATGCCTTACAAATGTATGCTAGAGAGGACATGGCAAGCATTGATACTCACAGGGCTAGCTAATCGGAAGTGGTAAGTGAATTCCTGGAATGGCATCATGACCACAGGCCAACGGTATGTTGCTCCCTAGAAAAAAAAGAACATCCAATACCTGGGATGAAAGAAAGCTATTGTTGCTGTTTTTAATGTTGCCCCATTTCCCAGACTGTCAAGGTGAATTGTATCTCCTCTGCACTCTACTCCCACATTTTAGCAAGAAACTGATGTTAGAGAACAGCAGTCAGCCGTATGTACTTATGAATAAGCCAATAATTTTATGTGTCAAACAGATCCCCAAAACTAAATCTGGCTTATTTGCAAGCGTATACAGTAATACTTTTTAAAAGTACCTGTATAACTCATATATACTTGCATCTAAGCCCACCCATGGATAAGTTAACCCTTTTTAATCAAAATATTATGAAATATGGATAATCCATGGCTTATCCATATATACACTAACCAAAAATTAAAACATGAACATTTCAAGGTTCATCTTATTTACAGATGGGTTTATATGCCCAAACTCTTAAGCTTTTGTTTTGAAAGGGACAAGGGGAGAGAAGGAGAAGCAAAAGGAGATGGGAGGAATCGGTGTTATGGTCAGTTTTTTGAAAAACATTACTAAATAGTGATTTTCAAGAAATAAAGGCAACATCTGTTCCAAATAAAACTAAGATGGTCTAAGTACACAACAAATTGAAAGTATGAACTTTATTTTCTATTATAGATGTAACCAAAAAAAACAACCGTAGATGCAAATACATTATCCAGCAGATAAAATATTTTGTGAGATATCTTTTTCTAAAAAAACAAATCATACCTGAATATCTGTTGCATTAGACAAGCTGTCTAGGACATTTTCAGTGTGCAGACATGGACTGTTAGATGTGAGATTACAAAGATAGCCAGATACAGCCGAGGAAGCACTGAAAGGAAGGAAAGAAACAGAAAGCAACAAGGATGAACAGGTCATTTTCAAATCATCCTTCTCTTGGCATTTTAATAATATAAATGCCACTATTTACAGTATATTGGCTTATGAATTCATGTTCTTATTTCACTGTAAAATACTCTTTCTCACTCTGCACATTCACCCACCAAAAATATACAACTCCTAATCGTATACCATTATACCAGGCTTGGACTTGAAATGGAAGAAGAAATGCACTATAGCACTGGGATGCATTCCCTTCTCTTCTTTCCTCCTTTGAAATATCTCTCCAGAGTCTTTTCAGAGGTGCTGTTGTTTTGCAGGCAGGAAGAAAAGACTGAAAGTCTTCGTTGTGTTACAGCAGAAAGCAAAATATTTGTGGCTCCAAGGAATAATGGAGCTACATTTTGCAAAGTTATTTTGAACAAATCTAAATCTTGAAAGTAATAATTGACAAGCCACTTCTCTAATTCCTCTTTGCTTTCTATGAAACAGTTTTTAGATACAACCCAACAAACAATAGCATGAAGACTCATTGATCCAAATTACTCTGGTTTTCCAGGTCTAAATGTACAGATGAATAAATATCACAGTGGAGTAAGATACACAAAGGAACAAAATGGTCTTTTAAGAGTACAGGAGATGCATTGCATTAAAGTAGCAACACGGCCCATCATCAAATTAGACCATATGTGGTGTTTCAGAGGCTGCTGGCCTAAAATTCTCAATGACCTATGTCCTGATAGTAGTTTTCGTGTGTGTGTGTATGTGTGTGTGTGTGTATTTCATTTGCTGCCTATCTCACTATAGGGCTACTCTAGGCAGTTTAAAATAAGCAGCAGTATCTGCTGCGATGAAATATTGGAGTGGAATGAAGGAGGTTTTGCAGCAGCCCAACTGGAGATGTCAGAGACCAAACCTTTTTGTTGTTGTTGTTGTTGTTGTTTTGGGACAAAATTTTTGTGCTCTGTCACTGAGCTACAAAACTTCCCTTCCCTTTTGACAGACAGATTTTCTTTTGTATCATGCCTAACTTTCTATCTTTAGCATGTCAGGATATGAAATACATGGCATCCTCCCAGAGTAGCACTGATAGACTTTAATTTTTGACTGTGGCCATTTTAGGGTTATTGCAGCAAATGGTTCTGTGATTATGAGATGAGAAGTGGCATAGAAATATAGGTAAAAGAATCACCACAAGGAAGTATCTGTCTTTCTGTGAAATCCCCAGTCCTATGAGGGAGGGAAAATAAAGATTCTTAAACGGAGTAGCCAGATTAGATTGTCAAGCCTCACCAAAAGCCTGTCCCCCATCTTCCTCATGACCCAGTACTATTTTCCTATGAATTATATTGAGAATAGTACTCTCAATTTATGAAATGATAGCAGATATCACATCTTTTCTTTATCAACTGTATAATTTTGGAATTCTCCTTTCTCAATCTGGTTTCCTATTGACTGTTTTAGCTTTTGCATTTTCTACAATATTCTTTGCCAGAATTGTGCTTTCCCAAAAGTTTTTACTTACTTCATTTCCAAGGTAAGATTTGTGTTAACTGATGTAAATTTGCTGATGGGAATGCGATAAGTGATATTTCCAGTCCTGCAGGAATAAACAAACAAACAAAAAAGGATATATCACACATTTTTGCTTATCTTCATGTTTTCCTGCTGCGCTTTGTATGTATTCACCCAAATATGATTCCATCATTCATCACTGGTAATATGGCAACCAAGATGCATGGAAAAATCCTAAATTGATATATTTAGTTATCTGGATGACACAGTTTCCTTCCTAGGAATCTGACCTTTTAAGAATCCTTGTCTGATGTGTGCAAAAACTTGCAAAAGCAATGAAATGCCTACAGTGGAATGCTGGAGTATGAAATTAACTGGATTTCCAAAAATAGCAAAGCTGAGCAGGTTGGTCAGAGAAAAAACAATAAAGACATTTCTGAAAGATGAAACTGTACGTGGACTTTTTGTTGAAAATGACTTGAGGATTACAGGATTTGGAAGTTAAAAAGGGATGAAGAGTTGGAAAAACTTTAAAATGATTATTACTTGACTGAAAAAAAGACAGAAGGTCATAAATGTTTTCCTTCCTTCCTCTCTCTCCCTCTCTCTCTCTCTTTCTTATTTTCTATCTTTGTTCTGGTTTGTTTTGTATTTTTGCTATACTGATAAATTCAGATAAACATATATTACAAAAAAGAACTCCCAGTCTAACAAAGCTTATGGTTGCCATGCTCCCACTTACCTGCAATCGTCCCCTGTAGCACAGGCTTGGGGTAAGATGACCACATTCGCCTCCAACAGTGAGACAAACTGGAGCACAGGTGCTGTTTCTATAGGACAGAAAGGATCAAGATGGAGCAGGAGTTTACTCTGCATAGGAAGTTCCGCAAAATGCTAATCATTCTAAAGGAAGATCTTCTAACTAACGCAACCATATACTGTATATTTCTGCCTAAACCAAGCCGAAGGGAAATCAGACAGTTTGGAATGGGATTAATAAACCATGCCTGCTAAGGATGTATGTGTGCCATCACTCCACAAAGCTTTACATGCAGCGTAGGGCACAACAGGAACAGGCAGTATAGACCTGGCACAGATGGAAAAATAGCAGGTGTTCTCCAGTTTGGATATGATTATACATCAACAGTCATCAGAGTTTGAAAAGAAACTACACTAGCAAATGGCTAGTAGTAATGGGGTGTTCTGGAGGAGAGTAAAGAAGGAATAAAGATGAGCAAGATATATTAAGGAGGTGCTTGCAGATAGTTAAAACATATGTGAAGAATCTGTAGCTCAATAATTAAAACATATGTGAAGAATCTGTAGCTCAAGAGCAGGGGGGTTTCGGAGGCCTTGGCTGGTTCATTGCAACCCAAATCTTTCCTGCTTGCCCATCAGGGGTGCTTTTGAGTCATTCCTGACTCTGGATGATTGCCTGGACTGATCCCTGCAGTTTTCTTGGCAACTTATTATTTTTTTTTCCAGAAGAGATTTGCCCTTGCCTGCTTTTTAAGACTGAGTGTGTGTGACTGGCCCAAGGTCACCCAGCTTCTATGTGCCTAAAGCAGGATTAGAACTCAAGTTTTTCTGGTTTCTAGCCTGATGCCTTAACCACTGCACCAAAGTGGTTCTCTTCTACATGCTCACAGGCCAATGATTAGTCAACTGGGGAGAGCCAGATTGCAATAGGGAGGGTGAGATGGATTCCATGTGGAAATTAGGGGTAGACAAGAGGGTGAGAAAATAATTGAAGATTCTATGTTGCTGCTTGACAGTGGTGGATGATGCACATACAGATTCAGGCACCCATGCAAGAGACAAGGGGGACTGGGCTGCTGCTGCTCTTGGTCACACAACTATGAGGTCTCTAAACCAGGGGTCTCCAACCTTGGCAACTTTAAGACTATTCCTGCATGCTGTTTTGGGGGCAAAAATGTTCCCTTCTTCCAATAGACAATCCCTGTTTGCTTATTTATTTGATTTATATGTCTTTCCCTCTCATCTCTGGACCATATACCAGGCTACAAACAACATCTTAACCTCTCAAGTCCCAATGCCCAAGAGCACAAACAATAATGAAACCCTATAAACAAGTAGCAGCAACCGGCAGATCTTGACAACTTCCTGGCCCAAATGGCCTGGGGAACAGCCAGGTCTTTAATGCCTTATAAAAGGCTAAAAGGGTTGAGGCCATCTGAAATTCTGCAGGGATGACATTCCATAAGGCAGCCACAGAAACACACAAATCCTGGGTCCAACAAGAAGACATTGTTTAACACGCCACCCCTGCTAGATCTGGTCGGATGAGCAGAGATGGTGGAAAGTGTCTCTATTTCCAAGTAATCAGAGAAAATAGGAAAAATGTCTACCATTAGGCTTGGTGCTTGCGATGCCAGGCTCCTTAGCATCTGGTTGGCTGATGCTCCGCCGCTGCCGTGATACCCGATCAGAAGGAACGCTGTTGTATGTGAGGGGCAGGTTGGCAATATATTTGGACTTGCCCTGGATGTTGGTGAAGAGGGAGGAGGGGCTGGCATTGAGACCCCCAAAGCCTCGTGATCGGTCAGCAGTCTTTGGCCACTTTGTGTGCGAAGCTGTCTTGCCAGTGATCCCCCTCGATTTGGCTTTGATGTTTGTCACTGGTAGGAGTGACACGAAGCTTTGGTCTATGAAGGCAGAACAACAAAATAAAAATTAATAAAGCTAATTTGAGAAGGGACCAGCAATGGACAGACATCTAAGAGCTGAAGGTGTGACAATTAAAGCAGCATTAATTCTCAGAGATGATAAACCTGTGACTAGCTTCTAACACTGGAGACTCCGTTAGACAAACTTTAATTTTTAATACAGATGAAAATTCCCCTAGGAGAGTTTCCATGCATTCTAATGGTTTAGTCAGATGTACTGTACATTCTCAGTCAAAATCTTGCAGGAGTTTCTTAAGATAGATATAATTCCATATAAAAACATTTTTGTAGAAAATGAATCTGTAAGAACTGGTTTGCACTAGGCAACTGATAGAAAAGCCAGAATTATTGTTTAAATCTCTACACATGTTGAATTTATCCCTTTCCGTAGGAGAACCAAAATCATACAAACTATTCTCTAATATTTAAATATTCTTGACCATTATATTCTGGAAATTCCAAAAAAAAAATGCAACAATTAGGTATAAGTAGGGAAGCAAGATAAATTTCCTAACAGAATAATCTTGAAACAAAATGATTAAAAACCCCAAGAGTAATGTTTTGAAACTGATTCAGTTTTATGTAAATAATGATTCTAATATGGCTTCATCACCCAGATCTTCTTTGCTGCCTTCTATTAGATGAGAAGAGAAAAAAGTTCACAGAAAAACAATGTTGCTCAAAACCATTGACAGTCTTGCTCTAATTTTTCCTTTTTTGCTACATGAAATTAAGGCAGCTGATCTTTTCTTTTTTTTTTAACGGCAACAATACTTGTTTGAAGAATTGATTCTGTGAATGTAGATTGTTTACTCCTGGACTATCATGAGGACAGATGCCTTCTAATAACCAAAGGTATCCAAAAACTAGTAGAAAAATTACTATTAACAACCATATCCTCGTTATTAGGCATGTGCATTTAACTACTGTAGAGAGTTTGTGGAAGTAGCTATGATGTGATGCAGTGGTGGGATTCATTTTTTTTTTACTATTGGTTCTGTGGGCGTGGCTTGGTGGGTGTGGCAGGGATACTGTAAAATCTCCAGTCAGAGGTGGTATT